AAAATGAAAAACAAAAGCAAAGGCCAAGTTTTATAAGAACTTTCTCTTTTTAATAGAAAGGACCCAAACTTTCTTAGCTACTTAGTTTCTTGACTTACAGGTAAAAGAGCAATGCTCTTTTAAAACTCCAAATTAACAGCTAATGGAGAATACATACAAAATTAAAATACACCTTTTAGGGACTTTAATTTCTTGTCTATACATCCAACAAGTATATTAAATTCACAAAAATCCCAAATTATTCATATTTTGAGTTAGTATTACTGATCATCTATACTTTCATCTGAGAACTACTTATACTATAGCTTCCTATAGAAATTATCTTTATTTTCAGTTACTCTTTTTTTCCCCCATAACACTGCTTGTCTCTAAGCCTTCTACATAAAACACTGCCAAAATAAAATTTAATACTGAAATGTGTAATAAAGCAGTCTGTGTTACAATAACTCTACCTTGTTGCTAGCATTACACTAGGCTCTTCTGAACATTATTCTGTATACCTTAAAAAATCAATCTATACTCTGGAGGTTAAGGCAACAGGATCCCAAGTTTGAGGCTGGACTGGGCAATTTAGACTGTGTGTCCAAATAAATAAAAAGGTCTGTAGATATATCTCAGGGGCAGAGCACGCCTGGGTTTAATATCCAGTCAGTACTATTTTTAAAAAAAATCAATCCATCACAGCCAATTTTTCTATTTATTTATTAAAAAAATTTATGGGACTAGGTTTGTGGCTCAGTGATAGAGTATTTACCTAGCATGTATGAGGCACTGGTTTTGATTTTCAGTACCGCATATAAATGAATAAAAGTCTATTAACTAAAAAACATTTTTAAAAATTTCCTTACCAGTAATATAAGTTATTTTTTCATAATTTCTAAAAATCGCCCCCCCAAAAAAGTTTCCTTCTGTTTCTAAAAAGCAAAATTAGGCTATTCTGACAACATGACTCCCAAAATGTCTGACAGTCCCTGGGATAAAGTCTAAACACTCATCCACAAAGAAATAATCCAATTGTTAAGACTTCTCATAGTTTCATTTATAATAACGTGTTCTTCTTTATACAAGAGTATGCTATTGATGTACTGTCAATAAAGCATATGCACATTCTTTCGGTTGATGTCATGATAGTTCCCTTGCCTTGACCTTCCTTGTGACTAAGGGTACTCATCTGTCGAAACTGCACACTGGATTAAGGGTAACATCTCTAATTGTGGAAGAGATCAAAGGTAACTGGCTTGTGTGGATTAAATACCCTAATCTCAGTCTCAATCCTTCAAGCAAATAATTGTTGAACTCCCCCCTGTGCATGACACTCCAAAGAGGGTAAATGGTCACCACTAAGCCCAACTTCAAAAATTTAAAACTTCCATAGGTAAATCACATCTACTTTTACTCATAGGACAATCCTGCAAAGAAATTTGGAGGAAGTTTATCCTGTAGTTCTGTTTTTCTGGATTTTAAATAATTTCTGAAATTTATCTTTCTTATCTGAAGCAGAAGAGGTACAGTTTAAACGAGAATTTTTCACCCTCTCTTACGCCTCTATAGTAAATGTTAGAGGCGAAGCAGATATATAGGTTGGTGAGCAAAATCTCCCGAAGATTTCTGTGGACATTCTCTATGTTCTTAGCTTTATCACATAGGCAACTCTTCTAAAATCCATAACAGGATAAACAGAAAATCCTTCTAATGAAGGTCTTTGTCACTATCCTAATCCACTCTGGCATGAGATATTTAGAATGGGAAATTCTAAACAAATAAGTAAATTACATTTATTAAGTGCTTACAAAATTCCAAGTTCTTTAAACACCTTATCTCATTTAATCCTCATAATTATTACTAACTCAATTATACAAAACAGAAATAAAGACTCCAAAAGATTGAGAAAGTGAAAGTCACTCTGATTTTAAGTGGCATAGTCAATTTAGGATTGGACTCAAATTTGCCTAACACCAAAAAAAACCCCTGCTCCTATTATGCAGTTCTCCCTTGGGTTACTTGATTCTATCTTATACCTAGCATTAAAAGAACAACTCAGACCTTCAATTCTGTTTCCCTGGAGTTTTAGAAACTTTTTCAATCATTTGATACTAAAATGACAGCAAGTTTCCCTATACCCTAGACTAGATTCCTTTCTTCCTGCCCCCACACCTTTCAGAAACAAAGAAAGAACCTTGACTTTGTTCTTGTATTCAGACTTTCCTTTTCCCTCTTAAAACTATTTCTATTAATGCTACAGGCACATCATTTCTCTGAGTCAAGAGTAAACACCAAACTTCTCTGCCCCTTCCCCTTTCCTGTAAGTCGCTGATTACTGAGAGGCCTGGGCTATTGATCTCAAAGCTAGAGGACAGTTGCACATGCACAATGAGTTAGACATAGTGGCTAGTTTCTTCTCAGCCTTAGGCAACAAATGCTGATAAAGTGTCTGCCAAAGCAGTGTATCTGGAAAGAATATCTGAAAAGAAAATAGCTGGATACAAAGTTATTAAGGAAAACCTGAAAATGACTGCTTCTTAATTTATATACAGGAAGTGATGTGAACCACAGTGAACTGCAAAAAGCAATGTAATTTCTTACATAGTTTCAAAAATAATAAAAAAACTAAGTCTAATGAAGTTAAATGGATTCTATGATTCTTTGGTACCACTTTTGGTAACAATGACAATATTTGGAACACACAGCTTTATTATACATTCTGAAGCATGGAGCCTTTTTCTCAAAATAGTTAAACATTTCTTTAAAGGCTTTCCCCAGTGGGGTATACTTTCTAATCTTCCCCGGATCCAGGTTCTAAAATTCAGATATTAGAGAGTACTGTATAACATTGAACTTTGAAATATGTTTAAAATAAGTATTATTTTGGTAATGAGAAAGAATTTAAAAAATATGACACGTATTTGGACTGAAAAAAGAAAAGACTTCTGTATTTGAATAGTAAAAATGAATCTTATACCTAAGGAAAGACATTCCCTTTTCACAACTTCACAACAGGAATCAAACAAGTAGCACATATAAACATATGTGTATATGTGTACAGACATAATAATCTTAACCATGCACTTGAAGTTAAATACATATAATACAAATTAATACATATTAATAAATAATATTTACATTTTAAAAAGCAAAAAGGCATAAGATCTTTACAGTCAATGATTTTCTTTGGAATTACTCAAGTAATTCAAATGTTAGAAAACTAAAAGTATAAGTGATAAGCTGTGGGAAGCAAGACCATAGCTCAGTCACATCAGAAATAATCTACTTAAAGCAAGCATGGTGGCGCACGCCTGTAATCCCAGCAGTTTGGGAGGCTGAGGCAGGAGGATAGTGAGTTCAAAGTCAGATTCAGCAACACCGAGGCACTGAGCAATTCAAGGAGAACCTGTCTCTAAATAAAACAAAACAGGGCTGGGGATATGGCTCAGTGGTTGAGTGCCCCTGAGTTCAATTCCCAGTACAAAAAAAAAAAAAAAAGAAATAATCTACTTGACTTCATATTTCTGACTTTGAGTCAAGACAGTATACTAGAGATCTTCACTCTTTGCTCTAAGAGAATTAACTAATTTGAAGTCTCAAACAACACTTATTCTATAGGGATTTCTACTCTATTTGTACTTTATCTGCACTATCTCATATGGTACCCCACAGGTAAAACTGGGCCCTTGAGACTAGATGCTCTCGGGATTTTAAAGACGTTCACAAAAAAAGTAAAATATTTCATTATTTTTATAATAACAAAGAAATGATATTTTGGGTATATTAAACACCTAATAATGCATTTTATTACAACAAATTTCACCTGTTTAACACTCTTTTAATGTGTTTGATAGAAATTATTAAATTACATATGTGGCCCACATTACATTTCTGTTGAATAGTGCTGTCTGTGTCACTCAACATCATAGCATTTTTCAAGCAGGTTGAAATCCTTTAAATGGGGAAACCGCACTTAACCCAGGCAATTTTTCTGGGCTGATCTTGTCTTTCTAATAAAATTAAAATGATAACAAGCAGTTGTTTATTAACTGAATTTCATTCATTTATTCAAAACTACAATCATAACATTATCAGAAAAGGTTCTCCATTTTTCATAATCCATGCAACAGGTTTGTTTGGAAATATTTTGAGGAGGAACCCACAGAAATAGTTGTGAGTCACTTTTAGTAGAATTTATCCTTGTGGTTTATTTGTTGTTGTCTTGGTGCTTGGGATGGAACCCCAGAGCCTTTCACATGCCAAGCAACATTATACCAAAAGCTACACCACCCCCAGCTTCAGGGTATTAAAAAAAAAAATTACTTATTCATCAAATCAAATCTTGCAAGGGAGATCTTCCTCATTCCACCACAGACTTAAGAAAGATTTTAATGATCTAAATTTTAAGTATGTAACTGCATTGTAGGGGTATAACCAACGAGGGTTCCCCACCTGCACCATAGTACAACAAAAAGAAAAAACAATTTGAGTGTCTGTTTTCTCAATTATCCAAAGGATGGAACATAACCAGTATCACTCTACACACTCAAGAGAGAAGTTAATCCATTCCATGCATAGATGCTGGGTTATTAAACCTTAATTCTCCAGTGGAGAACAGAATTTATTAGACCTCTGTATTTACCTAAATATTAACAATTAAGATTCACAAAAAGAAAGCATTTATATTTTACAGTTGTTGTTTCTGACTGTAAGAAGTATGTTTCCAGGAAATCAAGCTTTCAAAAACAAAAAAAAGTACTCACATTTTGTCTGGCAGATTGCATAATTATGCTCTGAAAAGATTTCTAAGAGTCATTTAGGAAAACATGGACAACAGGGAGTGTGTTAGTCATGTCTTGAACCTAAAGTTAACATACTAGACATTAACAATCTTTAAATTACTTCATAAAGCACATCTATGAATTCTACATTATATGAGTTTCAATTTTTAAAAATATCATTATCACAGTTACAATCACACAGATAAAAATATTTGGTAATTTACAGTCAAACTTTACCTAAATATATCAATCCAAATCCTCCAGAGCCAATCATCTTGCCCAGCACCCATTGTTTTCCTTCCACATCATCCAGAACTTTGCCTTCTGGAAGTGGAACAGGAAGTTTGTATTTCCCATTTCTTCTTGGTGGCATCACTCCTATTGGCATAAGGGGCGAGATAAATGGTTAAAAAAAAAACACACACACACAAATAAAACGTAGAGTTAAAACACATTGCCCAAAATGTCTTCTCTGAGGAATTTTTCCAGTGTCCCATAAATTAGGATTCAGCAGTTAATTCAGTTTGGGGAAACCCACCCACTACAGTCAAGTTAGAAATTCACAAATATTACAATCTTGAAATCTAAGAGGTTATTAAAAGCCAAAAAACAACCAATCTATTGAATTTCGTTTTAATTAATATTTCAATATTCCTTTAGGGGTTCTATAGTAACATTACTGAATAGACCTTAAGAAGCAAAAGGGTTAACAATTTTCAACAAGGAAGAGAAAATAAATTTCATATACATGCAAATACTCCCTTAAGAATGCCATGTGAAAGGTCTTCAGTCACTAGGAAAGAATTCATCTTTGAATTAGAAAGACATGGCAATGTACCACCAAGCAAGTCATCTAAAGGAGTAGGTATTCAGTAAATATTTGTTAAATAAACAAGGAATTTTCATAGATATATGATTTAGCAGATTAGGCTCCTGGGTAATTTCAGGGCTGGCTCCTCTTTCTCAAAGTAAAAAACAGCCCTATGTTAAGTGCCCTAGCCTGGTATTCCCAGCAACTCCAGAGACTGAAGCAGGAGGATCACAAATTCCAGCCCAGTCCAGGCAACTCAGCAAAACCCTGTCTCAAAAATAGGAAGACTGGGGATATGTAGCTCCATAATAGCGAGCTCCTGGGCCAAATCCCAGGTATTTCTTACAAATACAAAAAGGGTATAGAGTACAGCTATATTCTGTCCTGTTAACAAGAACTACAATATGAGCCATATGACTTTCATCAATTAATCGTAATTGTACCCAAGTTAGAATATTCCACAGTGGAAGATTTTGAGTTGAAAGACAACTTTAGAAGGGAAAAAAATATATATATACACCAGAACACCTGAAACTAATTTAAACGCGGGAGTAACCACGATCTAAATAATTTTTAAACTAAGAACTTTAGATAGAAAAGTTATGTATAAATCCAGCACATATAAATGTGAAGGTTTTTTTCCCCTATTCCTTCTTATCTTCCATAGGAGAAAGGATCTGCTCCTTTGAACAGGTTTTTCCCTCCCTCACTTGTTGAATCCAGGGCCTGGTCAATGACTCATTACTATCAACATAATGAAGGGATAATGAAGGAACACAGCATGGTTCCTTAACAATATTAACCTGTCCTCCTGGCAGACACACAAGGGAAGCCAGGAATTTGGTCAACCATCACTAGGGTACTGTATCATAAAGTAAGGAAAGTTTTATGGGAGGGGGGTGTCCCCTTCACCAGCACATCGTGCATACTGATGCCCAGGAGGAATTTACTAATTTAAAACTTTCAAGTCTTTTTTAAACAACTGTTGTTGAGTATGGCAAAAATTCCAATTAAGTAGACAAACGCGGTTTCACGAAAGGCGAATGTCATCAGGGCTTGAGACACAGGAGTCTGGGGTGGGGGTGGGGGTGGCTCTTTTAAGGCCAGGCCCTGACACGGGTGTCCCTTCTGCTTTCTGGGTTACTTCCCTGGGTTTGATGAAGAGCTAACACGAGTTTCCGGGCACAGATCGGTACCCGCGGGCTTCATCATCAGCCAGGGCCGGGCTCAGGGTCTGGGAGGCCAAGGCCCTCGGAGCGGGCGCCCGGTCACCGCAGCCCACGGCCCCGCGCGCCCCCTCCCCAGAGGCCGCCGGGCCCTGCGCGGGCGCCGCCGGCGTCTGCACTCCAACTTCCCGCCTCCGGGCGCACCAGCCAAAGAAGAAACAACTCCACACTCCCCGCCGAAACTCCGCCCGGCTTTCGGCGCACGCTAAAGCCGCGAAGGGGATGCCGGGTGCTCTCCGAGTTGGGAAAGTCAAGAATCCACCAGCGACGCCCCCACCCCAGGCCCGCCCAGCGACGCGCCCCCGTCCCAGGCCCACCCCCGAGAGCAGGAGACTGACCCGGCCTCAGTGTCCGCCGCCCGCCACGCGCTGCCTGCCGCCTGTGCTCGCGGCCGGGCGGGGCGCGGCCTCCAGTTCCCCGCACTGGCGGCCCGCCAAGGGGCCGGGCTGACTCATCTGCGCCCGGCGCCGCCCTGAGCACCCAGCCGCTAACAGGCCGCAGCCGGCGCCCTCCCTCCCGCGGCCTGTGCACGCCCAGAGGGGAGAAGAGCTGGTGGCGGGGTAAATCAGAAATGGGACAGAATTATTTTATCAGCCCTAGCCTTCCCCAACTGGCAGAAGAGCCTTCAGTTCAGGGTGGGGTGGAACAGGCGCAAAGTGCTCTTTGCAGGAGGAGGGTTGGGTCTCCTGTACCTGTACCGCGTCTGTACCTTCGATGTCAAGCAACTGGTCCTTTCCAAGCACTCACCAGCAGCCCAAGCCTCTGGAACAGGAGGGGTGGCTTGAGAGCCTTTAAATCCTCAAAGGCACCTTGGCTCAAGGCGTGGTCCTGTCCTTCACTAGTTGGATAATCTTAAAAATTTTGAAACTACTCAACTCAGCTATTTCATCTGTCAAGTGGACAAAACCGCACTTGCTGGGTTATAAGATTATTGATTATAAAGATATCTTGACCGTTGAGAAATATATTGAATTTTTTTTAACCCTGAAGGACTCATAATGAGCTTAAAGTATTTTAGAATACACCAAATGCTCAGAAAACATTAAACAATACATTAACACTCTGCATAGGAAAAGTCAGTAAGTATTTAGAATGTACATACTGAAAGTAAAATTGCAGCCCTTTAATTCCATCGAATCAGGAATTGAAACTTCCTGCATTAATCAAACTTTTCATTTTGAAAATGAAAGCATAAGACATTAAAATATATGTATATATGTCACAGATATGAAAGCATTTTTAAAGAGACTTAGTCTATAGAACAGTTTTGCCCTGAGAGTCATTATACACTAATCCATCAATGCCCATTCTTAGTTTCATAAGATATATATGTAAAAGGACTGGTTGCTTATCCTAATATCCATGTGGAGTACTTACTTATCCACCCCCATTTGAAATATGCTCAGATTTCTACCAGTTCCCCAGGTTACTCTCTTTGGGAAGATACAGATCCAGCACCAGCCAGAGCAGATTACTCAAAACTCTTCTCTTTTCAAGCCTATATCCAGTGTGAGTAAAGCCTGTTAACCTTCAAAATATATCCAGAATCCACCACTCAATCACTCCTACTGTCATGATCCTGGTCCAAGTCACATTCTGTTGTCTGGAAAACTCGAATACTCTAGTAAATGCTGTCCTGTTTTCCTTCTACTCCCTCAGTCTTTTCACAACAAACAGCCCATTTATCCTTTTAGAAGCCTATTTTAAATAACATCTGTACTTGAAACGCTTCAGTATCATTCTAAGTTACTCAGTGCAAACTAATCCTTACCATGATCTAAAACAGCATTTCTCAACCCAGGCACTCCTGGTATTCAGGCCAGAAAATTCCTTATTGTGGAGAAAGGATAGGAAGAGGGCAGAGATGTAGGGTGTGCTATACATGGCAGGATTTTCAGCAACATCCCCTAGGCCTCCCCCCGACACTTTCCACACATGTTTGACACCCCCAAATGTCCCCAAATATTACAAATTTTGCCAATTTTGCCCTACTTGAGAACTTAACCTGAATAATCTACCTGTTCTGCATCTCTCCGGTCTCTTTTTATTCTCTCCAACCACCATTGCTTTCCTGCTGTTCTCAGGTGCTTTGCATGTTCCATCCTCCTGGACCACTCTTCAATCTGGTATCTGCATGACCTACTGCATCACTCTCTCAGGTATGTATTCAAAAATCAACTCAGTGAGACCTTTCCTAACCACCCTATCTAAACTTTTAACCCATCTAAAATATTTCACAGCCCCTTTCCTCTTTCCCTCTAGCATTTTCACTATATAGCAATGTATTATGTATTTTGCTCATTTATTTTGACAACACTCAAATAGTCTTCCTTAGTAAACTGCATGCTTCATGAGGGAAGGCAGATTTTTTGCCTGTTTAGTCACTACTGTATCCCCAGAACCTAGAATGATTATAAAAAACATACCATGTTCTTGTATTGTGGTGGCCTCGTTCTCATTTCCAAAGCTTGCTTGCTTTAGACAGTAAATAGTAAGCGTGGTTCAGACAAGGAAATAAGAGGTGAAAAGATTTTCCTGAACACTTTCTAGAAAGAAAGGTCTTTTCTGGACATTGTTCTGAATGTGATGCTTAGAATGGCTCGATCATCTTGTGACTATGAGGGTAGAAGAAAATACAAGTTGAATGTATAGAGAATGCAGAACATTCCAAATATGATATGAGAACACTTGGTTATCCACATATACAAAAAAAAAAGAAAGAAGAAAAACAAAGCAAAAAGCCTCACACTGCACCTCCAGTATGTGGAATTTAATATAGACATAGGTCTGAACACATGAGCTTAAACTATAAAACTTTTGGAAGAAAAACTAAGAGAAAATAATTGTGATAAACTTAAGTTTGTGTACTTTGAAAGTATAAAATAATTAAACCTGGAAACTTAAATACAGACATGCATAATTTAACTGCTTCAAAATTAAAAACTTGCTCTTCAAACAATTAAAATACCAAGTGTTGGCAAGGATGCAGAGCAACTGTAACTTTGTTATATTGCTGATTGTACAGTAAGTTTGGAAAATAGTTTGGCAGTTTGTCATCCAGTAGTCCTCCCTTATCCACAGAGGATATGTTCCAGTGGATGTCTGAAACATTGGGTAGCTCCAAATCCTAAATATACCATGCTTTTCCTATTCATATATACCTGTTATAAAGATTAATTTAAAATTAGGAGGAGTAAGACATTAACAACAACAAAAATAACATAGAACACTTATAATAGTGTTATAATTAAAAAAGTTATGGGAATGTGGTCTTGCTCCCTCAAAATATCTTCTTGTACTCATTAGGTAATAGTAATGAGCAGAGAACTATAAACCCATAATAGCAGGGTCAGGGGGCTTCTTTGAATTGTCTTTAATAAATATTCAAGTAACTTGTTGACTTTAATAAATATTCAAGTAACTTGTACTATCCCTGAGAGTAAACAAATGGAAACAAAGAAATACATTTTTTAAAAAAAGTTAAGATCCATGGGGCAAACTCCTGACAGGGTCTACTTAGATCATTGTGAAGTTAGGATTTATGGCTATAGGTTTCTCAATGTATCTCATAAGGAAAAGTTTTTTAGTAGCACAGGTGAACTAAGATAAATTTTGCCTGGTCATTGACCCCAACACTTATGTTAACATAAGCTTGACTTGTACACGAAGCCACCCTAAATAGGATGATTGCCAAAACAGTTCCATAGAGGACCAACATGGAGGAGGAGATGATCATCTGATTGGTAAAGACCGCAGAAGGTGGACCCCAGGTCTCCTTATAAACAGCAAACAGTAATAAATTTGGAAGAAGCATTGTTTCCTTTGTCATTCTTTGCTGGGAGATATGGGGTGGGGGGGTGAGAGAGAGAGAGAAAGAGGTCTTTGCTTGACTCTTTCTTTACTTTAAGTTATAATAAAATTCTCTTGCTTGACTTTTGTATGTGGTTTTAAATTTTCTTTCATCAGGATGCAAGAACTGAGGTTTTGAGGTGCAGTTCCCCACTGTTCTATGATATACTCACTCTTCTTCCTGTGATGATGACGTATGAGACAATGGCTACATAAGGAGATGAAGAGAGGTAAATTATGTGGATACCATAACCTAGTTTAGTCTACTATTCAAGGATTACTTAAAAATAAGCACTGTAATATCTCAAAAGATTGTCTCAAAACCCAGGCAGCTGCAAATCTATGGGTAGTGTATACAAGGTAAGTGAACATGCTAGACAAAGGGATGAGTCACATCCCAGGCAGGACAGAGGAGGACAGCACAAGCTGTCATCACACTGCTCAGAACAATGTGCAGTTTAAAATTCATGAATTGTTTACTTCTGTAATTTTCCATTTCATATTTTTGAACCATGGTTGACTACAGGTAAAGGAAACCTCAGAAAGTGAAACTTTGACTAGTGTAACTTTAAATAACATATGATCCGGCATCCATGTGCCTAGATATTTACCCAAGCGAAATAAATGTAAACCTATATTTACATGAAGACATGTGATTATTTATTAATAGCTTCATGCATGATAGCCAAACACTGAAAACAAAATCCCGTCAACTGGGTGAATGGGTGAATCAATAACAGTGTATCTCATATAATGGAATATCACTCTGCAATATAAAGGACCAAACTACTGATACAAATGACTTGAATAAATCTCTAAAGCAAGTACTATGTGAAAGAAATACATCAAAGAGAATATATTCATAGTTCCATTTATTTGAAATGGCTAGGGACTAGGTTGAACAGACAGGACTGTCTGCAGAGTGACTAGCAGAACTTTCCAGACAGATTAAAATGTTCAAGTTCTTGGTGGTAGTAATGGTTATATAATTTTACTTCTGTCAGAACTCTAACTATACACTTAAATTTGATGAATTTTATTATATATAATCTGCTTCAATAAAAATGATTTAAAAGAATGACGGAAAAAAAGATGGGAAGAACCTGAGTTCTTCAAGCCTACTAATTGAACTAACCTGAACCCCCATACTTTCCACATTTACCCCCAGGTGTTAAGTGTTCTTATTGTTTAAGCCACTAAGTATTCATTGGTTTTTATGTTGCTTACAGCCAAAATCTTTCTGACATTAAAATAAAGTTTCAAGTTTCATAAGTGCTAATGAATTTAAAAATGTTAATGAATTTGAACTAAATAAAAACGGGAACAGAAGGGCAGGTAAACCTATGTTGAGAATATTTTTTTTAAGTGTTGGGATTTAATGCAGAATTTTATGATTCAGAGCATATTGCTGTGTGTATGTTTCAAGATGAAAACTGACAGAATATAGAAATACAAATTTTGGAACTAGTGAAAGAACATCTTCTGAATGAACATGATGAGAAATAAGAAAGAAAAGAGAAATTTAGACATGAAAGCACCAAAGTCTGAGTCATCATAAAAAAAAGAGA